ACATTATGCTTTCTATGCAGATGTTGAACTTGTCAATGCAGCTGAAGCATTGAAAGATTTTAAGTGGGTGAAAGAAATGAACGAATAAGTAAAGTTTATCGAAGACAACAACACTTGGTCACTTGTCGAATTGCCTCAAGGCAAGAAGGCAATTGATGTCATGTGGGTATACAAAGTGAAAACGAATTCGAAAGGGGAAGTAACTCGACACAAAGCAAGGCTTGTGGCAAAAGGATTTCTACAGAAAGAAGGAATAGACTTTGATTAAGGTTTTGCACCTCTTGCTAGGATCGAAACAATCAGGTTGATTGTTGGTCTAGTAGAAATAAACAAATGGCACATATGTCAGATGGACGTAAAGTGTGAATTCCTTAATAGACCCTTAGACGAAGAAGTTTATGTTAAACAACCAGTTGGGTTTGTGAAACATGACGAAGAGAGAAAGGTGTACAAGCTGCATAAAGCCTTGTATGGATTGAAACAAGCTCAAAGAGCTTGGAATAAGAAAATTGATAGTTTCCTAAGGGAGAAGGAATTTTTGAAGTGCACAACTGAACATGGAATATATGTAAGAAGAAGAAATGGTGTATTGCTTATACTATGTCTCTATGTAGATGATTTGTTGATAACAGATAGCTGCAAAAGTGAGATCGAAGACTTCAAAGGTGATCTAAGCAAAGAATTCGAAATGTGTGATATGGGTGAGATTTCATATTTCCTTGGCATCGAATTCTACAAGAGCAGTAGAGGTTTGATGATGCATCAAAGAAGATATGCAGGAGAAATTCTCAAGAGATTTGAGATGGTAGAATGCAACTCAACTTCGACACCTGCAGAACCAAGACTGCAACTGTCGAAAGATGCAGATGAAGATGATGTCGACCCAACCCAATACAGAAGACTTATTGGATCATTGAGATACCTTTGTCATACAAGGCCCGACTTAGCATATAGTGTAGGTATGGCGAGTAGATTCATGCAGAAGCCAAAGGCATCACATCTAAAAGCAGTGAAGAGGATGCTAAGGTATCTCAATGGAACTCTCGACTATGGCATTTTGTTTCCTGCAACTGATAAAGGAAAAGAATGCATGTTAGTTGGATACACTGATTCGAGTTGGTGTAGTGATGCTGAAGATCGAAAATAAACAACAGGATATGTGTTTATGTTAGGTGGTGCACTAGTTGCTTGGAGTTCAAGAAAGGAACCAATAGTGGCATTATCATCATGCGAAGCAGAATACATAGTTTCTTCTCTTTGTGCATGTCAAACAACTTGGATGGTGAACTTGGTCGAAGAGATAAAAGGCAAAAAAACATGGAGCAATTACCATGAAGATCGACAGCATGTCACCTATCAATCTGGCGAAGAACCCGATAGCACATGGTCGAAGTAAGAACATCGAAATGAGGTTCCATTATCTTCGAGAGCAGGTAGCAGATGGGAAGATGATTTTGGAATACTTCAGAATTGAGAATCAGATTGCAGACATCATGACGAAGGGTGTGCATGTCCAAGTATTCCGAAGACTAAGAGCCATGATGAATATAGATAGTTTAGACACGATGAATTAGGTGGTGTGTTAAATTGTAATTCAGAGTGTCAAAATTATGGTGTGTCGAAGAGCACACAAATTAGATTTGTTTTAAATTTAGATTTGATTTAGATCTAACATAGATATATTTGATTTAGTACTAAAATAGGTATTCTGGGCTTTTATAGTTTTAGGTTTTGAGCTAACAAAAATCTATAAATAGGGAGTAACCCCTAAGTTTGTAATTAAGTCAATTAAGTCATTTATAGTATTTTGCAGTTGCAAAGTGAATAACAAAGTTTTCCACAGTTTACGGGCAGAGATAAGTTCTGCAGAAAATGATTATCTTCTTTCTTTTCTTGTCTTTCTCATGATTCATTGTCATTATGTAGAAATTAATCATAGATATTTAGTGGGTTTCCAACAAAAGAGCCCCAAGAGGAGCATCTTCTAGGATTGGATCCTACCAAAATTCCAAGGAACTTGAATGGAAATTTGTCAATTGAGAGTAGTACAGGAAATAGGCAGTAACAGACGAGAAGGATTCACTCAATCCTAAACCATGAAGTTTACACTTGCAGAGCTTGATGCAAAGTACATACATTAATTCAAGGCCTCATATGACTGCTTTTATGGCCCATAGATTCTCCCAAGTGCCTTATCCTAAAACAGCTGTGTCATTGGAGAATTGCAAAGTTCTAAAGGAACGTTCGTTTGAGATGCGAAAACCATTAAACATCCCAGAACTTTCAGCTTGTTGTAAGAGACCGGCAAGACCTTCGACTTTCATGGCAAAGAGAAGAGGTGAGAGAGGGTTACCTTGCCTAAGGCCCCTGCTCACTGAAAAGTCTTTTGTAGGGCTACCGTTCACAAGAACTGACATGCCGTTGCAGAAAATAGAAGCTTTCAGCCAGTCTAACCATTTCGGTCTGAAATCGAATCTCCTAAGCATATATCTCAAGTAGTCCCAGCTGACACAGTCGAACGCTTTCTCAAAATCCAGCTTCAAAAACAAACCACTACATTTCTTCCTAGTTGTTAAATCAATTAATTCATTGATAATAAGGACCCCATCTTGGATTTGGCGACCAGCTGTGAAAACAATTTGCGAACTAGAAACCAACTTACCTATAACCGACTTCAAATGAAAAGCAAGGATTTTGGCAATGATTTTATACAACGAGGCATATAGGCCTGTAGACTCCAAGAGCATGGGGTTATCAATTTTTGGAACTAAAGCGAGGAAGGAGGTTGTGACCGCTTTGGTGAGGGAGGCGTTGACATGGGAATTCATGTACAAAAAACAGAACATCATCCTTAAGGAACTCCCAACATTTCTTGATGAATGCATTGTTAAATCCATCGGGACCGGGGCTTTTATCCCCATCACGACACCAAATCGCTTCTTTAACTTCTTCCCTGATAAAAGGAACCTCTAAGTTCGACCTTTCTTCATCTGATAAAGACGAAAATTAGATCACATCGAAGTTGGTTTGTTTGAACCTAGCTCCACAAATCTTTCCTCAAAGAAGCATTTGATTGCCTCTGTAACCTCCGACACACTGGCCACCATGATACCTCCTTAGATATCACAATGACAATTGAATTACTTCTTATTGCTTGGACAGAAGCATGAAAGAATTTTCTGTTTTGATCACCTTTTTTGATCCACTTTTCCTCTATTTTTACCTCAAAAGGCTTTCTTTGAAGTGCAAGTTGTTCCAAAATATGGAGGTGGCTTCCTTTCTTCCAACCTTCAATCCAATAGAGTCGTCGTGGAAAGGAATAACATGGTTCATCGAGAGAGTGTATAAAGAGTTTAAGTTTGATACCGCATTCTCCACTTGTAGGTCCAGCCAACCAAAAACCTGTTTATTCCACTAATTCAATCTAACCTTAAGAGCTTTGAATTATTCCACTAATTCAATCTAACCTTAAGAGCTTTGAATTTTTCTTTAAGAACGAATTCCTGCCAACCATTAAATTGAAGCGCACCCCATTCTTCTTCCAAAAATTTCAGAAAATACATTCTTAAACCAATATAGTGTAGGACTAGACACATTTGTGAGAGACACACCACTTGTCCACCTAAAACCTTAAGGTGATAGGTGAGTGGGTTCTCTCACTTATATATGCTTAAGTCTCCACATTCCTATCCAATGTGGGACTATTTCCTCACTTACTCACACTTGCTATATTATTCCAACATTTTTAACTTACTCCACAATCTTAACTTTTGAATTAGATCTAATTGAGCGGTAAATTTTAAAATAAATTTCACGTTTATTAAAAAATACAAATTTCTTTAGCGGTGGTTAATGTTATTATCAAAGGTGTATCAGAAAGTTTCGATGATCATGCTCTCTAAAGGAAAATCAGGAGGTTAATTGGTTTGCATGAGAATGTTATAGTTAGCTATGCGTTTCGAGAAGCAAACAAGTGTGTCGATGCGTTGGTAAATGAAGACCGTAAGTTACAAGGAAGTTTTGTTATTTATAATGAGACTCCTAGTTTTATTAGAATATTTTTAGAAGAAGATAAGTTAGGTGTCTCTTTTTCTTGATTGATTTCAGTGTAGTTGTCTTTTTCGGACTTCGGTCTTCTTACTTTAAAAAAAAAAGACAATCAAGTGTATTTACTTTTTTTTTTATTTCATATAAGAGAAATAATATAATTACTATTATATCCTTAATTAAATTATTATTCACTAACAATATTCACTAATTAATTCAAGGGATAATCTGAAAATAAATGCATTAAATACACATGAATTTGTTGGCTTTTACTTATATTTAAAACCAAAAAATTTAAAAGGATTTTACTTAAAAATAAGAGCAGAGGTAGTATTTATAAAAATCATACCATAGTAGCAATAAATTATCTAGTATATAAATTTAATCCAATAACAACATGTTGTTAGTCTCAAATGTGGACTTGCATTAAAATGCATAATCAATTAGTTACTATTTAAATCATAATTTTAAATCGCGGTTAAAAACTACAATTGCACTCGCAATATTGCAGTTGCGGTTCGTATGAGACCGTAATTGCGGTGTGATTTTTAAATTGTGCCTCAAGTTATATTAGAAACGACTTCAGACAATTTCAATCATATTGCTTCAAGTTTTTTCATCAAAAATCAATATATTAAAATTCTAAAACTCAATTTACTTCTTATCTAACATTAGTGTTTTTTAACATGTATACTTCATTTTAAAAATTCACATCACAACGACCGCAATGACCGTGATTTCAATATCTTGAGAAGAACTTCTCACTAGCTCCCTGCAAAATGATAACATATAACAGACTATTCTTAACCGCATCGCTATATATTGCTAACCTGCATGCATACAGTAATTTTATTGAGAATGTAAAAGTAACTATCTTAAAATACTTCATAAAAGTCTAAAAACCAAGCATTTAGTAGCTAATGTCAAAATAAAAATATGATATAGTCAATCTACTAATCCAAGTTAATCAAACGATTCTTCTCTGAATATGAATTCTCTTGTTTTATTTGTGGCATTTGCACATTTGAAGACATTGAGATTGGATTCTTTTGTTCCGTTGGAGTCCTTGAACGCTTTTGACTATTCTCTTCTTTCACCGGTTGCATTTGCACACTTGAAGTCCTTGAACGCTTTTGACGATTCTCTTCTTTCACCGCTTGCATTTGCTCACCAGAAGTCGTTGAGTAATTTTGTGGAAATGCTGCTTGGTGAAGTGTAACCAAAGATTGCACCATGGATAGATTTGCAGCTTTAGATAAAGATGACTCAAGATTTGTAACATTGTTGTCCCCTCTTTCCAGCACCTGTGCAACAGCAATCAAAGTAGGAAACATGGAAGGTTCTATTTTCAATCGTTCCAAATTAGAAACATTAAACATGTAGAACTGAGGGTAAGGATATGAAGAGACTTTTGCAATTGCTTATATAAATCTTCCACCTCTCTTGAAACTCTAAGGTCGCGCAACACAGGAGATTTAGTTGTAACTAAATGGTCATTCATGAGAACCAAATGATGCATATCCATCCAAGCTAACTCATTTCCCAAATATTGACATACAAAACCTATTCCTGAATTTTGGCAGTTCATGTTCTTCAAAAGAAAATTCATTGAATCCTTGCAAAGCATTGAGCAAGGACCGATCATAGTTTTGATTGCGTTAGCTTCTTTAAAATCAAACGGGATATCAAGCTTAATATCAGGATCACATCTAGCTCTCTCTCTCTAAGTTGGCAAATAGAATTTGTCATGCATGTTTTATAGTTTTCCTCACTGGAAAACTTATTGTAAAGGATAAGGATACAACAACCAAAGTAAACAAGTACTGTAGGCCAATCCATTAACTCAAATAAACCTCTTACATTACAGCATGAATAGTCGTCTGAAACTCGATATTTTCTTAATTTGTTATCAGTTGGACATACATATGTGTTTATTCCAACATACTGGGTTTGTGACTCATGAACATGTTTTATGCCTATGGCATCCAGTGCTGTTATCACAGAGGTGAGGAAATCGGATGATAACTCATTTATCATACAACAAACAGAAATACATAACTCCTTGTTATAAGTTGAACAGATTGCTTCATTATATGCACCTCTCTTCTTTCTTTCCCTAATAAGAATCATCTTGTTATATGCCCGAGTGAAATATGTCAAATTGGTTAGGGTTTTAAATTCTCTAGGTACCCTTTCTTCGGTTGGATATTTTGCCTTCATTTTAACTCTAACAAAAAAACACAACAAAGAGATTTTTAGTAATGTGTATAACAGGTGAATATTTCATCGTATTCATCGTGGTACACTGAAATTCTTTTGAAGGGTAAACAAAGTATGATCCATAACTATTTAAGCAATAACTCAAAGCTATGTTTCTCGACGATAATATAATCAAGATTTTGTCGGATAGCAATAATAATAAACTATAATTGGAAAACAAAAAATGAAACGTTCAAATGAGTATTGGAAAAAGATGCAAGTGAGAGAGCAATGTCATCAAAATGAAAGTATTTCATTGTAATCATACCTACCAACAAGGAAAGGTAAAGAATTGAGAATCTAACCTGAAAAAATGGAGAGCAGAGGGAAACTCCATGGAGAGAGGGCTAGTGGAGACTGCGTAACGATTTTTTGTGTTTGTGTAAAACCTAATTTTATTCAAATTTTTTGGGCATAACGTTAAGAAAATCCAAAATCCAAAACCCAAAATCCAAAACAACCTTTTGAAAATTTAATAAAAAATTTTAAATAAAAAATTAGAATTTATACAATGTTAAATTTATATATATATTCGATATTTTAAATTAATATTTTAAATAAAAAATATAAAAATAAAATAAAAATTATAAAATTAGAATTTATACAATGTTAAATTTATTTGTATAATCATTTGTAATAATATTTTGTTCACTTGAGAATATAAATTATCAATTAAAATTGTTAGATTAAAAGAAAATATGAGATTAAGATTTAGAGCAAATCTTTAAACCTACTCTTAAAGACAATATAATCTATCTAATATATAATCGAATTGACTCATGAATCTAACGAGTCGAACTATGTAAAGTTCAACTCATTTAATTAAAGAACTTAGTTTTTAGCTCATTTCAGTTTATATGATTCATGAACCTAATTCAACGATTTAATTTTCGAATTAAATTTTAAATTATTTTCGACTTGATTTAGTTGATTGCCACCCCTACTTCAAAACATAACAATTTATTGATGCTTATAAATTAACAAAAGTTAAACAAATAATTATATGATATAATAATACTATAAACAAATATAGAATTGAAACAAGAGTAGCAAATTATGCTCTATATAGATAATAAAAAATCAAACATAGAGTAGCAAATTTAAAATCTATAAATAAAAAATTAATAAAAATAATGTCACTCCTACTGAAAAATGAAAATGATATTTATACTTAAAATAATGTGAAAACTAATTCCATCTTTCCTTAGGTAACATAAACTTTTTATCCAAATAATGATATTCATACCGAAAATAATCTGAATTTTTTTTGGTAACATGTTATTTTTTCAAATTTTTTGTTCATTTAAAATATTATTATATCGTATAATTAATTTTTTTAACTTTTTAAATATATTATATTATTAAATTTTATGATTAATAATAAATAAATTTAATGAGAATGCATAAGAGAAAAATATTGCAATCCTATAATATATTACTGTATTTTTTATGACTAAATTAAACATCAATAAGATTTATGGAGCTTTTGATAAAACTATAATCCTCATAGTTATTGAAAAATTGCATATCCAATTTTTAAAATTTGACGAAAGTTCAATTTTATATTTTTAATATGAGTTTAATGAATATGTACTGTCAATATAAAATAAACTTCCATTCTAAAATAATTTTACATTATCATCTAATAATAAACCATAAATTTTCTATATCATTAAAATGATTTTAAAATATTAAAGTGATTTGGCACAATACATCATATTTATTAATTGACACTGTAGAATTACATTATACTTTTGCTGTATGTCCTATTTTCTCTTTTAATATTATTTAATTATTTTAAATAATTAACATAATTATAAATATGAATAAAATTGAATTTTAAAAAGGACCACTAAAACTTAAGAAAATATAAACAGGGGATATAAATTATAATTAAACTTAAAAATAAATTTAAAAAGATCAACTCATCGGATAAAAAAATTCACATGTCTATTAATCTAACCTGTGAATCGACCAAACACATTGGTTTTCACAAGTCAATTGCAACTACGTTATGATGAACTTATCAAAACGTTCTACCTCCAGTTCACGGTCTAACCGATCCGATCAGTCGAAGCTGTCATGGTTTAAAAATAATGTATATGAAATTCAAGTTCAAATGTGTCTTGTATGTTGGATTCCTCATCATCAACCAACAATAAGAGGAATTTGTCGGATGAACATTTATGGCCAGAGATAAATTTATCATCAGAATTAAAACATAACCCTTGGGTGTGACATTTCTGAAGTTGGACATTTGAGAGGCATCAAATAGGTAATTTAGGTGATTGAGAGGGTATAAGAGATTTCGGGGTTGCGGTAGATGGTGTTGATGTTTGTGTGGATGTGTTAGGGCGGGCGAATGGGGTTGAAAAGGCTTTCTGATACTTAGATTTTGCTTCCCTTAGTTTGGATTCAATAAGCTTAGAAAGCCCAATAGCTTGGGAGATGTAGGCAGGTTTATGAATAATTATTTGTAAGGTTCAAAAATGTCAAGTTATTGCAGATTCTGAGTTGCAAAGTGTTTGAGAGTGTTTCTGAGTCTTAGCAATCATGTTTAATGTTGCAATACACTTGTGTATAAGTATGGAAAAGGTTAGACATCAACTCCACTCCAGGTTTCTGAGTTATAGCCTTTTGGCTCTATTACTTGCTTTTGAAGAAAAGTGAGGAGACAAGTCCCTAAGGGTTGTATAAGCATGGTCTGGTTTGGGAGATGCCTTAAGTTGCTTTTGGTTTTGACTTTGCTTGTGTGCAGAGAAAATAATTGAGAGGCTCAAGAAGTTTACAAAGGCAAAAGCAATGCTTTATCAAAATGGAAATGGCACCTTTGTGCCATAAATGGAATTATAACTTGGACAAAGGCTCAAATGTTTGGATTAAAGCTCTATCAGCTTTGTAAACATTTAATTATGGAGTGAGAAACAAGTTTGAGGCCTGCAAACCAAAGATTATGCAGCCTAGGCTTGGATTTGAATTTTTGTTCATCATGAAATGACTTGAAATCAAAGTGATAAATTGTCAACTTCATCTCTTCGATTCTCTCTACTCAAGAATGATCTCAAGGAGTTCTTGGACATTTTGGAAAGCTTGCAATGTGCTCTACAAATAATCTTTGATATACCTTTGAAAATTCCCTTTGGAAGTATGTGAAAAATTTGAATGAAGTTAGGTCAAAAACCTGCCTACTTAGGGCAAATTTTCACTAAGTTATTTTAGTTCATGAGCATGTATTCACAAAATTATATCTTGAGATCCAAGCATTTTTAGGAGAAATTGTGTGAAGAAATGTTGTAGATTTCATGGATAACTACAACTTTCATGTTGGAAATTTCCTTTGAATCATCTTGCATCATGGTGAAAATTTGGCTCAAAGTTGAGAAAAAATAAGAAATTTTCTATACTTAGAAAAATTTCTAAGTTAAGAAATTTCAACTTTTCAAAATAAAATCTTGAACTCTTGATTTCTTGATGAAAAAGTCTCACATTTTGACATGTTTTGATGAATTATGATCCTTGGCACTTGATTTTGACCAAAAAGTCAAAGTTTGACTTTTCAGTATACAGTTGACTTTTGATCAGTTGATTGAAAAATTCATCTGTCAATCCAATGGATTTGTAATGTTTTGAACCATGTCAATAGGTCAAGATGATGCAATTGAACTCTTGAAATCATGCTTTAAACCAATTGATCATTTTCTAGGTCAAAAATCAGAAATTGCCCCTTCCCAGTCAAAACCCTAATTTTGACCATTTTGCCCTTATGATGATTTGATCAAATTTCTTGAGAAATTATGGTCCAAACTTGATTAAATGATACATATGAGTCTAAGGTGTTGATGTGGATAAAAAATTGTGATGTTTAACAGTAAATTGGCCATGGTTGACTTTTTCCCCAATACAACTCATTTTTAGGTCAACTGTTCAATTGACTGATCAAAAGTGTGATTTAAGGCTTGAAACTTGACATGAGTAATCTTGGGGGTCCATAATGATCCTTGAAATTCATATGAAGCATTTATAGTCCAAAAAACCTTGTGCAAACCCAAACCCTAATTTTGGTCATCAGTGCATGAGAAGATGTCTTGAGGTGGTCAAACCCTAATCCAATCTTGAGCCAAAGAGATCTTGTGAGAAAATTCTTGATAAGTGAGAGAGAGAATTTTGGGGTACAACAGCTGCCCCTGTTCAATCTTCTTAAGCCTGAAGAGTTAGATTGGCATGTTTTGCCAGTCGTGACTTGAAGGTGGAAGATGATTGGACACTAGAGTGCCCAGAAATTTGCACTCGACGATGCAATGATAGAAGGAATGGGCTTAAAGATGCCATTTAGAGAGGTGATAGAAAGCTGTGGGAGATGGGCTTAAAGATGCCATCCAAAAGTTATTGTTGAATTGAAATTTGTAAGTCGGAAGAATGAGTATCAGAATGGCATCCGTGTCTGGAGCGTATCTGAACTGTATCTGAAAACCTTGTTTGAATGAACATCATAATGGCATCCGTGTTTATAGAGTATTTGTACTGTATTTAAAATTTGAATCTGAATCAGTATCAGAATGGTGTCCGTGTCTGGAGCGTATCTGTACTGTATTCTGAAGTTGAGATCTGAACGAGTATCAAAATGGCATCCTTATCTGGAGCGTATATGAACTGTATCCTGAAGTTGAGATCTGAATGAGTATCAGAATGGCATCCTTGTCTGGAGCGTATTTGTACTGTATCTGAAAATTGACCCTGAATGAGTATCAGAGTGGCATCCGTGTCTGGAGCGTATCTGAACTGTATCTGAATGTTGAAATCTGAATGAGTATCAGAATGGCGTCCGTATCTGGAGCGTATATGAACTGTATCCAGAGGTTGAATCTGAATGAGCATCAGAATGGTGTCCGTGTCTGGAGCGTATCTGAACTGTATCTGAAATCTTTGAACATTGTCAATGGTAGCTATTGATTAATCTTATCCTGAAAAGGGTAAAATGTTAGCTAATATGCAAAGTCATGTTGTATGAAATGCATGGTGTAATGGGATGCATGCTTATATCAATGTTTATGATATATGGATGTGATGTATGCGTATGTGAGCTAATCTGCTGCATTGCTGTTGGATTGAGGAAAATAAATCCCTGAATGTTGCTGAGGATATGTGAGTCTTCATGTCTTGAAGTCGAAGTATTGATGAATTTATGTCGAGAGAAATAGACTATGTTGTAAGGGCAATGCCATGTACTGCTTGTAAAAATCTTATTGGGGGATCCTGAGAATTTTGGCAACTTCTACTGGGGATCAACAATTTGAAACTTTGTTCCACTGGGGATTTAAATGATGTACTGCAGGGGAT